CTTTTACCTTTCTCTAACACAAAAAAATACAATCATTCTCCAAGAACCTCTTAATCTACCATACCAAAATATAACTTCAAATATGCAAAACAAAACAAAATAATTTTCTAAGGGATATACTCATCACTGGTAAATCAACTATAGCTTACCTCATGATCTCTCGTCGAGACCCTAATGCTGTCGGGAAAGATCAGGGCATTGGTGCAATCGAGCAATGTTACGTCCCTCCATCGCACAATGACCCGAGTCTCCTTGCCGAGAAGGAAGGAGTAGAAACAGAGGTAGTTCACGCTCAAGTACAACCAGCCTTGTCTAGGTAAGCGGTTGTGCCAATAGCTGTGAAAGAGAAGCAGATTTAATCCATATACACTCTCTCTTTTGGATAAATAAATAAGCTAAATGTCTGTGCCTGTTATCAGAAGTTTAAGTTCTGAAAGACTATAAAGTTTCAAGACTAGTACAATAGAAAAAAACACATATAATATTTCTTATCATTTGCCAGGACTCTATCCTTCTTTACAAAACAACATAAGCTTTATGCAGAAAGTGAACCTGTATAACAGCCAAACTAAAATACTTAAATGTTACAGCAGCTATATAAACTATCTACACAAAATTCTCAAGAGAAAAACTTATCCAGGATGAAATACAATTCAACCTTGAAAAATAACTATACATCATATTTACAACTTATAGGCTAACATCAGGTACACAGGATATACAAGGTTATACTCATACAAACCTGCAGGAATAGTAATTCACAAGCTTCTCCCCTTCAGGCATGTTAAATAGTTTCTTAAACTTGAAGGAAACTGCCTTAAACGTCTCTGAATCTGGATCTGAGGGAGGGAATTGAGTGTGCAACCATGCGTAAGTTTAGAATGGAGTAAGTAGCTAAAGAAACGCAAAATATATCATAAGGCAATTCATATGGTATTTCATTCATAAGATACCCTCTACAAGAAAGACAATCCATTGAAATTACTATACGAACTTACCAGGTGTGTTCTGTGGATCAATAATGGTAGAATTTGCCACCAGGGACTCTACCTTGCAGCGCACAAAATCTGTAATGTCTTCATCTTTGTCGAAAGTCGCTAAGATACTCATCAAGTTCCTCTCCAACCATTCCCAGTGTTCGTCTATTTCCTCCTTCTTCAGTGACACTGCCACAACTAGAAATTTTAGATTTTTAGCTATGATTATCATGAAAATTAAACACAGTATTAGCTAACTTCTACAAGAAGTCTCATTACCAAAATTATGTCATTTAATTAATGTTCTTCTGAGAAGATTGATTTAATTTCTAAAACAAATGTAAACAGTTAACTTTTTATATCTAAATATCTGCCCTTATCACAACTTGTTTACAGTTTTTAAAAATACATACATAGGTGTTCCATTCTCCCTCTCCTTTACTCAGAACTCTTGTCACTTTCAATGACCATGTCCCTATCACTCCACATTCCCATCTTACCTTATCCATACACATACATCATCACACTTTCCCTTACTCATACTTTGCTTCCTCATTCCCTCATTCCTTTGCCATCTTGCCATAACCATCTTCCACTAGTAACTACACTCAGGCCCATATACTCACTGTAATAGAGCTCTGAAGAAGGGGTCTGGTGCAGTATCCGAAAAGGGGGTGGCTTCGTGTCGAAAACCGAATCCAGAGTGCCGATGAGGAGCCCAGCAAGGCCGCGCGAGGAGGCATTGCCAGATCCCTTGCGTTGCTGGAGAAGGAAGTATGTGTTGGCCCCTTCTGTGTCCCTGTGAAGGTAATTACCATGGAGATTATATTCAACTTTGCAGGAGGAACAAGAAGGAGAGAAGAGGGAAAGAAAAAAAGTGAGGAGGAAGAGGAAGAGGATGAAAGGATGAAGGAGGAGGCAAGGGAAGAGGAAAGTGGGTGAAACAGACTGAGGATCAAAGGAAGAAGAAGAGGAGGCAGAGGATCAAAGGAAGAGGAGGGAAGAAAGGGGGAAGGAAGGCAGAAAGGTGAAGATGAAAGGAAGAAGGAAATAAGGGTGGGGGACAGGGCATGGAAGGGGAGCGATGGCCCCTTCTGTATCCTTGTGAAGAATGCTTAGATCATCCATATCCTTGTAGCAAGAGGAAAGAGAGAAAGAAAGAAAGGAAGATTCAAAGAGAGGGATGGAATACAGTAAAGAGGAAGTGAGAGAGGGAAAATGGACAAGAAAGACAGAGAAAGAGGGGCTAAGCCAAACCTTACAGGGATATATGACCCAGTCCCTTGATTTACTGAAGTAAGAAGTAGCCACTTTCCCCTTCTGTATCCCTACAAAAGGGAAGACAATGAATATCATTAATAATTTTGCTGAGGAGCAGGAAAGAAGTAGGAAGGAGAAAGGAGGAATGAAGAAGGAGGAAGGAAGAAGGAAGAAGGAAGAAGGAAGAAGGAAGAAGGAGGAAGAAGGAAGACGGAAGGAGGAAAGAAGCAAAAATGAAGATAGAAGGAAGGAGGAAATAAGAAAGAAGGAAAAAATGATGAAAGAGGAAGGAGGAGGGAGAACAAAAGGAGGGTAGGAGAGGAGGAAGAAGAGAAGAAGGGAGAATAGGAAAAAAAGAAAGAAAAAGCACAGCAGAATGCGTGTTAGATGTTAGTGTTAGTTCCAATAAAGATTGTAACCGAGATCATCCATGACTAAAGCAGTGGTTCCCAATTTTTTTCACTCTGTGTCCCCCAACCAATGGGCCCATTCTGTGTCTGCCAGATCCAGTCAACATAGTGTTATGGTGTCAATAATCATAGGACAAGAACACTTCATGGAGAGACTCCAATTTATTGATATGTGACAAATAATTACTTGTAGCCACTGTCGGTGATAAAATTCAGTTTAACTCGACGTCATAATTTTCATATTGCTCCATGGCCTCCAGAAAATACCCCAGGTTAGGAACTCCTGCTCTAAAGGAAAAAGAACGACCATAAGAAGGGATAAAAGGGGGAGATGAACGAGAACGAGAGAGGAAGAGGCCCAACTAGGCCATACAAACGGACACGGGAAATAAATGAATGAATGTAGGATAAGAGGAATGTATGGATAACCAGATGGACAGATAGACTAATGGATGGATAGATAGAAAGATAGATGGAAGGATGGATGGGGAGAGAGAGAGAGAGAGAGAGAGAGAGAGAGAGAGAGAGAGAGAGAGAGAGAGAGAGAGAGAGAGAGAGAGAGAGAGAGAGAGAGAGAGAGAGAGAGAGAGAGGGCAACAGAGAGAGCTGGAGAGAGAGAGAGAGGGCAACAGAGAGAGAGAGAGAGAGAGAGAGAGAGAGAGAGAGAGAGAGAGAGAGAGAGAGAGAGAGAGAGAGAGAGAGAGAGAGAGAGAGAGAGAGAGAGAGAGAGAGAGAGGGCAACAGAGAGAGAGAGAGCAACAGAGAGAGCTGGAGAGAGAGAGAGAGAGAGAGAGAGAGAGAGAGAGAGAGAGAGAGAGAGAGAGAGAGAGAGAGAGAGAGAGAGAGAGAGAGAGAGAGAGAGAGAGAGAGAGAGAGCTGGAGAGAGAGAGAGGGCAACAGAGAGAGCTGGAGAGAGAGAGGGCAAGAGAGAGAGAGAGAGAGAGAGAGAGAGAGAGAGAGAGAGAGAGAGAGAGAGAGAGAGAGAGAGAGAGAGAGAGAGAGAGAGAGAGAGAGAGACAGACAGACAGAGAGAGAGAGAGACAGACAGAGAGAGAGAGACAGAGAGAGAGAGAGGGCAACAGAGAGTGCTGGAGAGAGAGAGTTACTGACAAAGAAAGAGACAGAGAGAAATGGAGGAAGGAAGGAGACAAAGAAAGAAAAAGAGAATGAGAGATCAGAGACAAACAGACAGAGACAGAGGCAGACAGAGACAGACAGAGACAGAGAACTATGAGACAGAAAGAGAGAGAGAGAGCGAGAGAGAGAGAGAGAGAGAGAGAGAGAGAGAGAGAGAGAGAGAGAGAGAAAGAGAAAGAGAAAGAGAAAGAGAAAGAGAAAGAGAAAGAGAAAGAGAAAGAGAAAGAGAAAGAGAGAGACAGAGAGACAGAGAGACAGAGAGACAGAGACAGAGACAGACAGAGAGAGACAGAGAGGATATCAAGACACAAAATGAAAGAGACTAGCCTACTGTGAAAAAGAAACAAAGACTAAACTTGCTCCACCTCAAATAAATGAATACATTTTATGGAAAGAGAGAAGTAAAAGAGAGGTCATTTTACTAAATCTGAACAGCAGGAAAAAGAGTATGATAGAGAAAACAAAGAAAACAAACAGGAAATGTATAATGACATGCAGACCATCAAATCACAAAAAAACAAGGAAGAGAAATATTTTAGAGGCAAGAGTCACCCTTATATAAAGCCTCTCAATGTGAAAACATCTAAATTCTAAACTCATGAATCAACAATTAGATATTTCCTTCTAAATATGTATGTCAGCATCACAAATCTTCCTTTACTTTAAAATAAAATCTTCATATTCCCATCTTATAAATACAAAATATTTGAATATAAACTTTCCTCATTATGCATGTTACATTACACTACGTATAATTTCGCTCATTCCTAATTACCTCATGAATCATACCTAATTCATCACGTAATTATGTTCAGCGTTAGAACGAAGATATTCATCATATAAGGGATCAATTGTCTTGGGTTATTCTGCTGTACACGTATTAATGGAGAAATAAACGCCAATCTACCTTAAAGGAGGAAAATAGATTAAATTTTGCCTCATACGTCATTCTGCATAATTAAGCAAAGGGGCGTATACTTTTCTATATCCCCTTCCTAACTCTCCCTTATCTCATTTATCTCTGTTTATCCCTCTGTTTATCACTCTGTGCCATTCATCACTTACCAGAACCCCCCGGCCATCAGCACTTCCTCTGGCTTGACCCACATGATGGAGACTAATTCATCGCCTCCGTTTTTTCTTGCGTCATAAAAGTGGTCAAAAATCAGCTGGGTTTTGTTGACATCGAGGTTGTTGACTTCCGCCGCTAGATGGC